TGAAAGGTCTAAATCTGCTTGCTCCAGGCCTTTTAAGGATAGCATCTAATTAATCCAGCCAATTACTCAAGTGAAAGGGTCCTTTTCTTAGCTCTTTTTAAAGGAGTCTTGGCAAAACAGACTGCCTCTTAAACATGTTCTTCCATCCATTAACTCTAATTGGCCTATCAAGATAAAATTAATTGTTGTAAGCCACTGACCAGCAAATCTTTAAGGCAGTTTTTACATTAACCCCTCTTGGGTCCTGTAAAAGAAGAATTTTTGTAGGATAATTAAAAATGTGCTGTACATTATAAATAACTTTGCTGGGCAGCACAACAAACCATAAACTACTAGATTAGATTTGCATTAAAATGCAATAGCATTCTGCTGGTTTTGTTGCAGATCTAATCCAGAGACAGTCCCCATGCTGTTGAGCAGCGGATTCTGGAAAGGCAGCAGAATTGTAATGTGCAATCTGTAATGCAATAAATCTTCTCAGTAAGGCTCAGGGTGGGGGTGGCAGAGGAGAAAGGCATGCGTAGAACACTCAGCAACAGTAAAAGACCTGACCGTTTCAAACAGGGTGCATCTTGCTGATCTGCAGTCTCATCACCCTGTCTGCAGTCCATGTTTTTTTAATGTGTGGTGCTAGGAATGCTTAAATCACACCAATATCATGTCTATGCTGCATAACCATTATCCGGGGCAAATCTGCAATACACAGCAGACTCTCCTCTTGTGTAGCCCCACTGACATGTGTTACTGGCTCATATAATGTAAACAGAGAAGACAAAGAAACCTACCCAGTCTTATAAGCCCTCAAGACATGAAGATGCCCACATGTACACACTCCTCCTTCTCGGCACTGTAATTTGATCAGAAAAGTAGCCGTCAGAATGGAGTCCAGCTGCTAATAAAGCCAGCATCTACTGAGGACTTCAACGTAGCAGGGAATTAGCATCTCTGTGTTCATGGTTTAATGACAGTAACCTCCCAAACAGGCAGCGTTTTGTTTTTAAGGGCTTTTGAGTACTACATAGTTCAGGCATAGACAATGGATGGTATGAGCTCTACAGTTAATTCTCTAGCATGCAGACTATCTGCTTTTTATGCCCTTTTTCTTTCTCACCCATTTTCTTACATAGGCTTTTACAAACACACTATATGTGACTAAAGCACATGGGGCCAGTGATCACTAGAGGGGAAGAAGGTTTTTCTACTTACCCTCTTATTAAAGAGTAAAAGCCTTTAAAGGAAAAGAATGGTAATAACATTTATTATATAAAAAAAAAGAAAAAGTGCTTTTTGCATACAAGCAATAGAGATCTGCAGGGCCAGACTCTAATCTCAGCCATCTTCTGTAAAATCCTTTAAAGTCTCGGTTGATTGTGTAATTAATTTTTGAATGAAAGGCATCACTAACCAGTCATGAATAGACTTCCTAAGCTCTTCTAATATCCTTTACAGAAACCTTCCCAGCTCTCTCATACTCTTGGAATGAGTTTAAGTGTGTGAATTTGAGCAAAGCAGACCACCCTTTTAAAACAATTCTGGTTTCTTTTCTAACAGAGCAGAGTTGTTTTGCGAACTGCAATTATAGCTATATTTTTTTGAATGACAGACTGAATATGTGAACCACAACATTCCGAAATACTCCAGAATGTTTTGGCAATGAGGAAAGCATACTGAGGCTATGACCAATGTCAGGCAGAAAGAATGACTGAGACTTGGCAAAACTGGTAAATCCAAATTACAGACTCCAAGTAGAAAGCAAAATGAGGAAATGAAATTCTGAAAGCACCCAGCCTGTGCCATCCTCCTGACTGTACCAGAACTCTGACAAAAGGCTCTCTCCATCTCTCCTAGAAGCATTGGAAGTGATACTGTGGTAGACTACAGAATGAGTGTTTGAGGTGTCTCCTTCCCATACCCTTGATGTTTATCACGCTGCCATGTGCATGACTGATGCTCTGAAGGTCAAGCTGGGTTAATGAAGCTATTCTTTAAGACATGACAGAATACTTCAATTCTGGCTTTCATCTGATGGAAGTTTAGCCAGTAACTCTGGTGAAATCACTCTGACTTACAGCTGCTGAGGGACAAGGCAATGCCACAGCGTACAGTGTGCTGTCCCAGAGGTGGGGCACAGCTGCCTCTTGCTTTCAGCCAGAACAATTGGCTTGCGTTGCTTTCCACTTTGTAGCTCAACCCTTCAGAGGAAAGGGGCTAGAAAGTGACTTTTGAAAAGCAAATGAAAATTGAGTCTGATTCAGGCTATGTGGATTGGAGAGAGATCAGGGGAATTTTGTTCAATTCCACATAATCCCATTATTTCTACACTGTACAGAAGGCTAATGATGATCTATACTGCCATACGCCTGAATCAGAGTTTAATTATTGATACCACATAGCTAAATGTTGGGGATACACAATAACTGCACTTCAGGGGGCAATATTCCCAGTTCTATTCTCACAATGGTATTTCTAAATTAAGATATATTTCTAGAACGCTTTCATTATTGTACTTTTTTCTATAAACTTGATTGCTTCTAATTAGAAATTATTGGTTTAAATCTACTCCATGTGGTCTTTCCTTTTAAGCAAGAAAATTAAACAGTGAATCTTCTCACCTGTCAGTGTCTGTAAGCCCCCCTCCCACCTTGCTCTTCCCCAGTGAAACGGAGTATTGGAGGTTCCTGGATTAGCATAATCTTTTACAGCACTCTCACATTCCGTTCTCTGAAATGTAATGAAAGAGTTGCATGTAGCAATTCCATAAGGTATCAGCAGATGCTAAATACCAGTGCTCTGCAGGTGAATGCTCCAAAGAGAAGTTCATGGGCTCAAGTCTCACATATTGCAAGGGTTTAATCCAGCACATTTGTAATCTCAAATGGTTGAAGTATGCCTCAGGATATGAGCAGGCAGGAGTTCAAAGTAATTTTAATCCCTGTATGGTTGTGGTAGAGCTGTGTTTTATAGGTATTCATATTACAAAGCTTAAATCCATAGAGAGATACTTTAGGCAGAACTGCTTTAGGGGGAAATAAAACATTCATGTCCATACATCACGTATGCTTGCATAAATAGGTTCATTGTACGTGGAGTTGTAGGCTTCGCTTTGCTTTATGATCAGACCATACACTGTTTCTCCAAGTATGTTGTGCTACTGGATGTGTATTGCCCATTTACATTTCATCAAAGCTTTGTCTTTGTCCAAAACATCCTGACAAATATAGCAAATAATAGCTATCTCAGCAGCAATGTATGTATATTGCTGTGTGCCTGATGCTCTTCCCCTCCACCCTGGTTATTTTGATAAAGGGGCTGGTCAGGAGCCTAGCCTTCATTTCTTCCCCAACAGCAAAAACTGCATGCACAACAAGCAGCAGACTGAAAAATTATGTTCACGCCTTGACCTTGAGACTTCCTGAACCAGTTTGGATTGGCTCTCCCTTTGAAACAACAGGCTTCCACAGGAAGTTCATAAATGGGCCCAAGTCACAGCAATTGACGTAGTTTTAGTATTTTTAACTTGGTTCTTTAAGAGCTACCTAAGATGGGAGGCGTTTCATGAACACAAAGGACCGGCCAGCTTTTCCACATGCAAGTGTCAGCGTGCTGTGCACAGTGCCAGCTGCTGAAAGCAGTGTGAGGAGCGGGCTGGCTGGCCCTGCTAGCACAGCTTCTGCCCAGCACTGTCCTGGAGATGCCTGCACTGCAGAGCTCCGCTGCGCTTCACCACGTCCCAGTGTCAGCACTGGGGCTCCCAACACTGTGGGCAGCCAATACCTCCAGAGCTGGACCACAGGCCTGCATCCCAGACCCCTCAGCTTTGGGCACATTTGGGTTCACATCTCAAGCAGTAATGCAACCCTGTTCCCCATGTCATACTCACCTCCCCCACCCCTGCCAATTCTTGTCTTTCTCAGAAAGACAAAGCACTGTACGTCATTCTTGCTTAGAAATCCTTTGCAAGACTTATTCAGAGGTGTTAAAGTTCTTTTACTCCACAAGTCTGAAACATCAAAAGAGGGACCTGTGAAATGCCCATGGTTTGTTCCATTCACAATGATGGGAAGAAGATCAGAAAAAATAAGTGTTGCAAAGAAACAGGAGTATTAAATCTTTAGAAGAATTATAGATGAAAATGGACATGAACACCTTGCTTCTAAGATGTTTATCTTTTTCACACATTTAACAGAATGCAGCTGCACTAAAGACATTCCTTTTCATTTATTGGCTTTGCACCTTATTTTCTCATTACCTGTTTACCATGAACTTAACGGAAACCACTCTTATTTACATCTCTGTGCTCCGCTGATTGTATGCTGTAACCCGACGACAGATTCAAACTCAAAGGTCTTGAGTGCATTCCTCCTATGTAACTATGAAAAGGACATTTTTTGTTTGCAAATAATCTAATGGGATGAAAGCTTGTTATTATAGCAGTGCACAAGATTTCAGACAGCTATTTAACTGATCTATAAATCAGCAGCTCTGTCAAAGGGCCATAATGACAGGCTTTAAAGCAACTTTTAAAATTAATTGTCTAGTCTGATTAGCTCATGATTTGGGATTTTCTGGTCTGTACTTAACTGATGTATGTTGAAAGATAGATTATATGTATATGGTTGCTTTGAAAAATTGACAGGAATAAAAAAATGAAGCAGGACCCCTTCCTGCAAATTGGCTCTCTTTTCCTTCAATCAAGAAGTCAGAAACCTTTCCTACTGAAGAACAAAGCAAGCTGCACCCCTCCCCCCAAGCCACAAAAATTAGATCCATTGGATAAACCAAGTATTTTTAAATGGGTTTTTTTTTTGTTTGGGTTTTGGTTTTTGTTTTTCCCCCACTCATAAAGGCTTATCTTGTATTCTTCCAATCTTTCTCGTAAGCATTTCCTGAGAGGGGTATAAGCCAAGCGATGTGGAGGATCTGCCTTTGATACCTAGCAGGGGAGGCCTTGCCTGTTTGGCCAAGGCTAGCAGGTCTTACATAGTAATTTATTACAGTACCTTTCTGTTTCCTGGTCTGTGATCTGCTGCTTGTTCTCAAAGCCAGTGAAGCTGCTCATATCCACATAGCCGTCATTCTCATTAGCAGCAGATACTGCCCTGCTGGGATCTTCAAAAAATTCAGTAAAAGTTCCTGCTCTGATGGATCTTCGAGGAGGAATTTGTATGTTTTCATAGTCGGAGCTCATAGCAGGAAT